GCCATCAGCATCAGCACGTGCTTCAACTTTAGTGGCGGTAGGGTCCTTGAGAGCCCATTCGTGTGCTGCAGTGTCTTCCCTAGCCGGTGCCTGATTTTGAAGTCATACTCCTATAACGTCACCGCCCACCGCAAATTTTTCTATGTTAGCCCCTGACATGTCATTAGCCACTTTAACATTTGATGATCTGTCATGAGCAAGAATTCCCTCCCCTGTAGGTACACCCTGAAATGTTTCTTAACCCACACCATTGCAAGCCCTTCCCTTACGAGCTATGCTTAGCTTCTACGAGGTTGCAACTTCTGCTCCGGTATGCCACCACCCTCTCTCCCCCGTCCAGCTCTTCACACAATATGGCCCCCATGCCCTAACTGCTTCTACCAGTACACAAGTAGATGGGCTTCTCTGCTTGCGGCACCTATAGGATGGGGGATGTTTTCATGGCCTCTATCTGATCTTCGAAAGCCTCTTGCTGCTCAGCTCCCCACTCCCATTTCTTGTCCTCCCTCAGTAATCCGTTAAGTGCCGCTACGCGCTTACTGAAGTTCGGGATGAATCTTCGGTAGTAGCTGAGAACGTCAAAGAGAAAGGCCCCGCCCTTGCTTGGGCGTAGCCAATCTCGCCTTTGACGAGGAGAACTTGACAGAGTGGTCGTTGAATGGGCTTCTACTGGTCAACGGAGGTGTTGGTCGAGCAGTCCCTACTCGATGGGATGCGGTCGACATCGTCGACGTCGGTCATTGGTCGACGACAGTGGTCGTCAATAAGCGTGTCGAAGAGCACTTGTTGACGAGCCCGTCGAGAGGCACTGGCAGACGAGCTCTGTTCAATAAGCTCATTACGGTATAAGTTGTTTGACTGAGCAGCATCGAACTGGTTGACAGAATATGTTGGACTGCGAAGTTTGGCAGATGCGCAAGTTTTGCACCAGGAGGTTTTGGCAAAGCCAACGTGCGAAATGGCATCACATGCTTGACGGTACAAGGCTGACAAAACCTTCTACACATGCTCTACCTGGCACCTACTCAATGTGTTCGGCGGTGCGACCGTCGATCTGCACCTACTCAGTAGCTGCACATATGCGCACATGCTCACTTGCGATTGCAGTGTTGGCAGACCGCTCGCGGTGCAACACTGGAAGGCCGCCCTACTGTAGGATTGGCAAGCCACTCTTTTGCTGCGCTGGCAGGACTTGCCCTCTAGAGTGCCTCATTGTGTTCTTGTTCAATATCTTTTTGTTAGTGGAAATCTTGCCAATTTTCTCTGTGAACACACAAATGTGCAAGTGCTAGAGAATGCTATGATCACCCGAACAATCCCGTAGCCTCCCACGTAGTTCAGCTCCCACCGTTGTCGAAAGAATATCCACAGAAAGCCCTGCAATGCTTGTAGCCTGATCCTGTCCTTTAGATATTGCAGCCAGCTTAACCCCTCGTACCCTAGGTATTGCACCATCAACTCTCCCCATCTGCAGATGGCAGGTCATTCTTGCTGCCGCCAGTGCCTCCTAGGTACGTTCCACGTCCCTCACATGCTCCTCCTCGCTCGTCTTTTATGCAGTCCAAGCCCCTTAGCATGAACAGCCATTCGTACAGCCCATCTGTGAGGACCAATAGGATCGAGTTCAGAAATGACTAGATGAATTGATTGCTCACCTGGGTACAGCACGAGACTACATATAGTCTCGACACAACGCAAGGTAACCAGGTGTTACGTGAAGGTTCCGAAGGTCGCGAAGCGTCCCGAATGGATCATTCCCGAAATCGGTAGAAGCTTTTCAATGGACACCGAGTAACGCTGAATTCGGTGCACGCAATCCTAGTTCAGTGCCTATAACTAAAATATATTTATAGTAAAGCACCTAGCCTAGGAATTCAAGCAAAAGCATGCAAGATAAAATAAACCTAATCTAGACACGGCATAATAAGGTAAAGGCGCAGGCAAAGCCTAGAAAAGTCGTTGTAATCTCACACGTCCCCCCCTCAAAGCTGGGTGGCGTTCCCCCTTGCTTGACAAGATTATCCTTGAGAGCACCGCGTGCAATGCCCATATCAGCTTTTGCAGCCCAACTGCCCTCCGACGGGTTGTATCTCTTCCAACATATCAGGAACTCGAGCGCTGTGCCACATCGGCATTGATAAGTAAGAACGCATTCCACCTCGTACTCTGGTTCATCCTGCACAAAAACAGGTGGTGGTAACTGTAGATGTCGACCCGTAAACAGTTGGTTGGGGTCCTTGTAGAGCTCAGTAGATGAACATGGAAAGCGTTGTGAAGCTTCCATGTAGAAGGTAGGCGTAAGCGGAATGTAAGTGGTATCACCATCACCTCAACGCGGCCACAGAAGCGAGGCCAGAGTTTGGACGGAAGATGAGACAAGTCCAAGCTGCATGTGTGAAGAAGCACTTGATCTCCGACTGCTACTGAGTGATCTCGTCGCTGTCGATCAGCATACTGCTTCTGGAAGTTAAGCATCGTGGTGAGACGTCGCTGAGTCTTCTCCCATAGCTACTGCATGGTGGTGATGAAGTCGTGAGCGGCTTGGACGTGTGCCGGTGTGGTTGGGTGCTGTGGTTTAAGTGGTCCCCGTCCGTAACACAGGAATAACTGAGATTTTTCTGTGGCCGCATGTGAAGCGTTGTTGTAAGCGAACTCAAGCATCGGTAACTGTAGATCCTGGTGGCTGATGTCGTCTTTGCAAGTTGTGCGCAGAAACTGTTCAACCACCTGATTGAGTCGCTCTGTTTGTCTGTCAGTCTGGGGGTGGCACGCTGAAGACATCGCAAGCTTTGTCCCAAAAAAACCCATGAGTTCCCTCCAGACTCACGTGTGAACTTTGGGTCTTTGTCCGAGATGATTGTAGTGGGTATGCTGTGGATGGTGATAATGCGGTCGAAGAAGAGGCGAGCACTTGCTTCAGAAGTAGCAGTGGCATTGGTCAGGATGAAGTGTCCCATCTTGGAGAACTTATCAATCACCACGAGTATAGCATCATGCCTTCGTGAGGTCAAAGGAAGCCCAATGATAAGTCGAGCTTAACAACTTGCAGTGGGAGAATGTCTAAAGTCGCCAACAGTGACACGGAGGAGAGGAGAAATAGGATGAACGTTGAAGAGCTTCTCAAAACGATCTTCGAGAAGATCAACAACCTGGGATGGAGAGAGGCGAGTGAAAAGAGCAGAGTGCTGAAAGTTGCTGAGTGCTCAAGTCATGGAGCGAGTATGGCGTGGGGAAGGGGGGGGGATGGGAGCGAGTGAAGGAGGTTGAGAGGAAGATGGGGGTGAGGAAGGTAGGGGAGCCGAAGAGGAAGAGGCGGGTAGGGAGGCACCAGAGATGATGCCTATAGGGGGGGGAGTAGAAGCTGGCGCAGGGGGAGGGGCGGGGAGGGGGGGGATAGGAGGGGGGGGGGAGAGGGGGAGGGGGAGATAGACGGCTGCTGATCGAAATCATACCAGTGAAGTGAGGGCATAGGAGGGGCAGGTGGGGATGGATGGAATGAAGAGCGAGTCTCATGGAGAATGACATCCTGGTTGCGGATGAGTTGGTGAGAGGAAGGGAAGTGCATAAGGAAGCCAGGACAGTCAGAGTTGATGCCAAGGAACGCACAGAGTTGCCTCTTGGGAGCGAGGTTCCCACCCTGACGGGATTGGTCTGCTGGATTTATAGGAACATGGGCAACACACCCCCATATTCGAAGAGGGAGGGATGGCGACCAGTCCAGAGCTCAAAAAGGGTAGTAGTGGGGCGAAAAGGAGGAGTGCGGAAATTAGAGAGAAGAGTGGCATGGGGAGGAGCATAGCTCCAAAGAGAGTGGGGAGCAGAGGAATGGGTGAGGAGGCAATGATTAATTTCCATGAGAGTGCGATTGCGACGCTCGGCAACTCCATTCTATTTTGGGGAGTGAGGAAGAGTGGAGGTCCGGCAAATGCCATGAGAGGCACAGTAAGAGGAGAGAGTGTTATTAAAGAATTCGCTGCCACCATCTGAGTGGAAGCGCCCGGCAGGCCGCTTAAAGCGAAGGCGAGCCTGCTTAGCCTAGCGAATGATGAGGGAGGAAGTGTCAGATTTGGCACGGAGGGGATAGACAGTGGCAAATCATGGGTGGTCATCAACTAAAAGCAGTAGGTGGGGACCCCAAAGGTCCATATGAACAAGGTCAAGGGGTTGGGGAGAGGCAGAGGGAGAAGAGGGATGAGGTGACTGGGAGAGTTTGGTTGGACACATGGGGTGCACATGGAGGAGCCGAAGAGGGGGGAAGGGGCGGGAGAGAAGAAGGGAAACCATGAAGAAGCTTAGAAGAGACCATGCTGCGAAGAAGGGGAAAATTAGGGTGACCAAGTTGATGATGAAGGAGAAGGGTAGGTTGAGTAAGAGAGCGACAGTCGCAGGAGGGAACGGGTGGGGCGGAAGCGGAAGAGGCATGATAGGCAGAAAGGGGTAGAGAGACACGAAGAGTGTAGAGACGAGTGATAGGGGAAATAGTAAAGTGTGCAAGATGACGGTCGTGGTGGTAGAGATCTAAGTAGGAGTGCCATTCAGGGAAGATAGCTCGCACACCAAGACGTTGAAGGGCAGAGAGAGAAAGAAGGTTGTGGCGGCAGGGAGGAACATAAAGGCCAGTTACAGCACCAAAGGGGGAGGCGGGATAGAGAAGGGAAGAGGCTGCAGTGCAAGTCATGTTCATGGTATCTCCAGCCCCTTGAATGGAGAAAGAACGGGGAAAAGAGCAAAGCATACCAGCATCACAAAAGTCAGAGTCAGTTGCAGAACTGTGAAGGACAAACTCAAGAGTGCAAGGGAGAGAAAGAGCAGCAGCAATGGGACCAAGATACTAAGAATCACTGCCATTAACAGAAGGAGCAAACATCATGGCAAAGCGAGGGTCCATAAAGGGAGAAGCCCCCGAAAATGCTATCCTGACTAGGCATAGTCACCCTAAGAGCAGAGGTTTGAGCACTAGCACCAGAGTCGTCGACCGCAAGTACCGCCTGGGCAGAGAACTAGCGACACTGACGAGAGAGTTGGAGCCAGTTGGGAGGGCGACCAGTGTTGTCAGCCAGGAACCGGTCATTGGTGAGCTTCTGGAAGCAGGAGGAGGTGGGATGATTGGTTCGACCGCAAGGCTGACCCTTGCGGGGCCCCTGGAGAATGATGCAATTGCCTTTGCCAACCCTTGCGGGGCCCCTATAGGTGCAAGGGGGAAAGGTGTTGCGAGGGTGAGAGGAAGCAACGGCGGCAGTGGTGGAGGGGTTTAGTAGGAGGGCAGCGGTAGTAGGAGGGCAGCTGCGGATGTTGAACTTTGCTTGGTGGAGAAATGCAGAGACACAGGAGAACGACCACTGGTCGGCGGGGCACTCACCATAGAGGGTGACATGAACAATGTATTCAGTAGTGAGGCCTGTGAGGAGGAGGGCACCGCCGACATGATCGGAAAGTTCAAACTTTTGAGCGCAAAGTTGGGAGGACAGTGTCTGGACACGAGCGATGTAATCTGCCATGGTGGTAAAGACAGCGAGGCGGAGAGAGGTGAGCCCGCGTAAGAGGGAAATGGCATTGATAGGAGTCTGCGACTGGAAGCACTCAATGAGAAAGCCAAGAGGGTCCTTGGCATATCAGATGTGTGAGCATTGAGGGAGAAGAGTTGGAGGCAGGCAGGCAAGGATAACCTGACAGGCACGTGCATTGGCAACATGCCAGTTGGCGAGAAGGTCAGAGTGAGATGGAGCAAAAGCAGTGGGCGTAGAGGCAGAGCGAGGAGAAGGGGAAACGAGGTGTTTAGTGAGGCCCTTGCGGGTGCTCTTGAGGGACTCAGCAAGAACACAAGCTGGGTCACGGGCTGCGGCATTGTTAGGAGCAGCTGCGGCAGTGGCTTGGGCTGTGGCTGCAATCCGCTCACATTTCAGCGATAGAAGCACGAAGGCCATCATCATATGGGTCAGAGGAAGAAGAGGTAGGTGCAGAGGAAGAGGTAGGAATGGCGCCATAACCACTCTGCTGAGTGACAAACCAGAGGTTAAAGCCATTCACGAGGGTGTAAGACAGCGTGCGATCAAGACAGTTCAGCCAACTAGGGAAGTTGATCGCACTGCCATTGGGTGCAAGCTGAAGGACCAGCAGAGGGACGGATGGGAGGGCGAGAGAAGTTGCCATAAGGAGGAGGAGACGGCTCCAGAGCATATGAGGGGAGAGGTATTAGAGGCGGAGGAATAAGGGCGGAGTAGTCTGTTGCTAAGCCGCTGAGGGGAGAAATAAAAGGAGGAGGGATAATGGCGGAGTAGTCTGCTGCCGAGCCGTTGAGGGGAGAAATAAGAGGAGGGATAGCGGCAGAGTAGTCTGCTACAGCACCTATGAGGGGACAAATAAGAGGAGGGATAGCGGCGGAGTAGTCTACTGCTGCGCCGATGAGGGCAGAAATAAGAAGAGGAGGAGGGATAGCGGTGGAGTAGTCTGCTGCTGAGCCGATGAGGGGAGAAATGAGAGGAGGAGGGATAGCGGTGGAGTAGTCTGATGTTCCTGGCTTGTGTCAAACTTCGGGCCTTCCCGGGAAGACCCGAAGCTTTGGGTTAAACTTCCTGTCAAACTTCATGTCTTCTGAAAACAGGGGCGATATCTCGTCGGAAGACCCGAAGTTGGTCTCGGACGACCCAAAGTAGGTCCAGCTTCCAGTCATTCACGGATGACCAGAAGATTGACACGAGCCAAGAATGTACCCGATGCTGCGCCGCTGAGGGGAGAAATAAGAGGAGGCAGAATTGTGAAAGAGGTTGCAGTTGAGCAGTTGAGGGGAGGATATTTAGGAGGAGGGAAGTTGTGGAAAAGCAACAACTACAAGAAACAGTCGGCTACCAGCTGCAGCAGATGAGGAGAGGAAATAGGTGGAGGACAGGGTGAAATAGTGGGGAGGGAACTCGTGGGAGAGAGGAGAGGAGGAGGATGTTGAAGGGGCGGATTGTGGGAAGGGCAGGGCACGCCACAGTGAACGATGAGCTGCAGCAGATGAGGAGGGAAAATTGGAGGAGAAAGAGGTGAGGTAGCGGGGGGAAGCACAGAGGAGGGAGTAAAGGAGGAGGAGGGTGAGGGAGGGGGCGGATTGAGGAAAGGCCGGTGCACGCGCTGCTGGATGGTGCGAAGCGCGCGCGGCGGCAAACGCGCTTCGGGCAGAAATGGGCGCGTGACCGTCATAAATAGGAGGAGGAGGAGGCGCGACGAAGAGGGAACGCGCGGAAGGGTGATATGAGCGGTATAGAGGCGCACTACGAACTGGATTATGGCATCCGCAAGAGTATAGGGTAAAAGGAACTCGAATTTTGAGAGTGACGAGAGAAAAGAAAACCGTCTAGCTAAGTAGCACAGAAATGGCCTAAGGGCCTGAAATTGTCTAAGAGATATGGATAAGGGTGAAACGCCTAGGACCACGCTCTGAATACCATGTTAAGATGATGGATGGCGAGAGAGATAGATAGGCTTGAAAAGTTGTACCAGGAAAGAGTGTCGAGGTACAAAATGAGAGAAGGGTTGGAAACCCTTATTGAAACTAAGGTGTGTTCAGATTGGACTGAACGTTACGAAATGAACTTGAAGCGCACCATGCGTTGTATTTCCGACATGTCGTCCACACAATCCCCACCAAGTCGTGGTTCTAATTTATGCGATCGATCGCATTCTGACAAATAAAGCGGGTGAACATATGTATCACCCTGTGTTGGTTGTCAATATGATGGTTAAGGATAATAATATGTTTGTCAATGCTGGGGCTAAATATAGCCTTTTCAACCAGATATTGGAAAATAAGTTACATTGTTACCTCCGGACAAGTGCTTCGACGTTCACCTCGCAGATGGAATGCCTCTAGCAGTCAAGAAAACTACAAGGATGGTGGGGATTGAATGCGGCAGCAATTTTGGCTTCAACATGACGTTTCCCGCCACAACATTAGACACCTGAGACGTGCTCCTGGGGTGCAATTTGTTGTGACAATATAAACCAATCACTAGGACGTCATGATCGTGCAGCATCACAAAGCACGGGGGACGAAATACATTTCCCCTATACACTTCAAGGAAACTGGTGTCTACACGCGTAATGACCATCATGCCAGCATGGCATGTCAATAGGGGCGTGCAGCTGTACGAAGTCTGCTTACAAGAGATTCCAACTGGCCTCAACGACCACAACATTGATATATGTTTTGTGATGCTATCATTTGCATTCACGTTTGTCTGCCTCCCATCATATTATGTTATTCGTGCGTTGCATGCGTGGTATGAGCGTGTGCAAGAATTTGTGTTTGGTGTGGTTTTGGATTCTCGGAGTATTTGTGAATGTTATTTGGCCTGAGCGGATGTCTGAAGTGACTCCTCTGCTCAGGAGCTTTCCGACGAACCAAGAATTGTTGCGATCGGAGCAAGAACGACGAAGTTATAATTGGTCTAAGTTTTGATTGGGGTGCGACGATTTTGGGAAGTTGTGAAGTGACTCAATATGGGGTACAGACTTTTGGGGGTTGGGAAACTCGTCCCCATCACTGTAGATGCTGCCAAGTGGTTGGGAGAAACCAAATTGGCAAGTGTGGCCAACTTGGATGAGGTGGATTGTGGAGGTTGGTAAAGTGACAAATGTCAAAGTTGGGGTGCCTATAGAGAGGGGAATTGTGTGGCATGGGGTTTCCTTGGTTGAGGACTTGCTTCGGACCTTCCCTCTCGTCCTCTTCCCTCCTACCTGGATTCTAGCTACTCTAACTTTCTTGTGTTGAACTTGTGAGATAATTGTGATTGCGTTAAGTTTCAATGGCAGCATATCCCCTAATGCGCCGAAATTCATAACTCAAGTTGTACTCCATCTTTTGATACGATTCAAACTGGGAAAGATAGCCACAGTCAAGGGATACAACATAATTGAGTTTGAGAGAATTCTAACGATGCGTGTTTCTTGTGAACTCGAATGACTGCACACGATCAACCACGTCGACCCCAGGATACCACCTCTGATGGCGGCTTTGCTTTAACCACCTCGACGACCGTCGCGCACCTCCGCATAACCCCGTCGCTGGGTAACCTGGTCGAGCGGGCAACCAAGTCGACCAGATGCTGCTCCTCGAATCTGTTAACCGCCCTGGTTGACGACCACTTCCTGCCGACTTCACGAAGTCGGCTACTCCCCCGGGTCGACCACTTCTGGGCGACCAGGCCTGCTGGTCGCCGGCTTCACCAAGTCGGCGTCCCCAGGTCGGCGTCCCCAAGTTGACGCCTTCTAGCTCGGCGCTCTCCGAGGTCGAATTCGCCGGATAGACCTCCCAAAGTCGGCGCCCTCCAAGTTAGCGCCCCTTCCTAGGTCGGCGAGCCCCGTCGTCGACCATCGGTAGAAGTCGACTGCCGGTGTCCCAAAATTGGCGGCTGTGCAGTGGTCCCATGCAGTTCGACCAAGCCTGTCGACCAGCTCGCCTCAAACGGCATTGCCCACTATTGCTGTTCGGCTGCATCTCCCGTACACCCGACTACGAAGTCGGCTCCGCCCAAGCGAGGACGGGGCCATCAACCAACTGCCGTTGACATTGGCCTCTGGGGCCACATAACAAAGGTGAAGCTCATCATGCTGCTGCAACTATTTGACGAGAAAGTAACGAAGGGCAATGTTCTTCGTTTTGTGCTCCAATCTTTGCTCCTGACACAAGGCAATCAAGGTCTTATTGTCAACGTACAAATCTGGAGGAGAACGAGGCTGCTCACCCAAATCGGTGAGCAAGTAGGTCAGCCAGCTTAACTTCTGCGCAGCCGTAGCCCAGCAGAGATCTCGGCCTCGCAGATGGAGCTGAGCATAGAAGACAAGAGAGTGGACCTCCACCAGATAGAGCTAGTGTTGAGACTGAAATTGTAGCCTTATGAAGACCGGGAAGTCGCCTGGTCATCGGCCCACGAAGCGTCTGAGTGCCCTCTGAGCACAACTGATCCCCGTCCTCCAAGAACTAGCCCCAAGCCTGATGTAATGGCCAAGTAGCGCAACACCCTCGTAGCAGCCTGCCAGTGCTCAGGGCAGTGTCTCCCGGGCGCAAGGTAGCACGCTAGGATGTTGTGAGGGTATGCGAGGTCAGGCTACGTGCACGTCATCAGGTACATGAGGCAACCCTCAAGTTATGGATACAGACCACTGTGCTCTACGGACTCGTCCAAAGGCGGAGTTGAGAGCAAGTGGCTTATAGGCAGCGGAGTTGGCTATGGTTAGGATAACTGAAGGCGGAAGCGCTAAAGAACTTGCTGCACCATGTGTGACTGAGTCAGAGTAGTGGTGTATGCTGCTCTGTCCTAGGTAATCTGCAAGCCGAGATAGCTCTGTAGCTCACCCAGGTCAATGCAGGTGCGTCTCTTCTGCAGCTCCGCCTTCACAAGGGCCAGTGCCTCACTATCAGCACTCGCAAAGACCAAGTTGTCAATGTACACGAGGATGTAGAATGATAGTAGAGAAGGGTTGGTGCGGAGAAACAGCGACGGGTCAGTAGTCGAAAGAAAGAAGCCAAGAGCTGCAAGAGTCGTCCTTAGTGTGACGTGCCACTCGCAGGGCGCGTGACGAAGACCGTAGACTGGCCACCGGAGGCTCCACTGGGTACCCGCAGGAAACAACCCAGTGAAGCCAGGTGGGCGGCGCACCCAGATCTCCTCGTGAAGGCTGCCCTGCAAGCAAGTTGTCGAGAAGTAGAGCGAGTGTAGCTTGTAGTCATGCTGTGCTGCAAGGTGCAGTAACATCCGAAGAGTTTTCATATTCGGGGTGGGGGAACGTTTGGAAGAAGTCGACTCCCGGATGCTGGCTGAAGCCTTGTGCAATGTAACCCGACAGGCGAGGAACCTGGCAGCCGCTTCACCCTGAAAATCCAGATGCCATTGACTATGTTCACCCCAGGAGGGGGAACTGCGCCAATATAGGTGCCTGTGGACTTTTAGGATGCCATCCCTGTGTCAATGGTTGGCTGCCACTTAGAGGAGTAAGGACCCGTGATCGCCTCGACGTAAGAGCGCGGGGTCGGAATGTACAGTGCACCCGGGTCACCCTTAGGGGCAAGTAGCATGGCAGCAAGATAAGGTAGAGCAGCCGCGAGGCACTCGAGCTCAAACTGCTTGTCCTCAAGGACGTCATAGCCAAGGGCAAGCTTAACCCTGACGGACAGAGGACAGTCAGAGACAGAAACTAGACTCGCGAGGTAGTGAAGGCGGCAAGAAGCATCAAAGTCAGCGAGCTCAGCATCTAAGGTAGACGCAGCAGCATACAAAAAAGCAGGATCCGTCACAAGGGTGGCAAGACAGCGAGTGAGGATCGGACTGGCAGCAGGAGCACGGTCAGATACAGGGTCATAAACGTCTGGAAGAGACGAATGGGGAGGTGAGGGTAGGACAACACGCTGTAAATAAAGGAAGGGCCAAGTGTCATGGTGTGAATACTAGGAGCAAGAGGAGGGCGAACACGGCGAGTACGACAAGCAAGAGCAACAGGTGAGGTAGGACGAGACAGAGGCTCTCTACACTCAGTCATGGAGTCTGTCAACGGAGAGTAACGAGGAGGAACAGGCCAAGGAGAGCCAAGCGGTAACTGTGCCTCAGACAGGCCAGGCAACGAATATAGTAGAGGAGGAGTTATACTAGTGGTAGATGGCTCTGCAGAGGCAGGCGAAAGGAAGAGAAGGTGGTGAAGTTTCGGGCCAGGTGGTGGTAGCAACGACTGCTGCTGATCCCAGAACTAGCTCCTCCAGTGCTAGAACCAGGATCACCTCCAGCTCAAGCACCAACACCCTTAATGGCCGCACCTCCAGCACCAGTACCTCCAGTAACTCCAGTTCCAATACCCCCAGCAGCAGAACCTCTAGCACCTCCAACTCCAACACCTCCAACACCTCCAGCTCCAGCACCTCCAGGACCAGAACCTCCACCACCTCCGACTCTAGTACCTCCAGCACCAGAACCTTCAGCACCTCCAGCTCCAATATAGCATCAGAACCTCCAACACTTCCAACTCCAGTACCTCCAGCACCTCCAGCTCCAGCACCTCTTGGACCGGAACCTCTAGCACCTCCAGCTCCAGTACCTCCAAGACCAGAACCTCCAGCACCTCCAACTCCAATACCTCCAGCTCCAGCACCTCCAGAACCTCCAGCAGTAGTACCCTCGGTTCCACCACCACTGGGATGGTCAGCACCTCCAGAACCAAGACCTCGAGAGTCAGCACCCCCAGAACCAGCACCCCAAGGGCCCGCACCTCTAGAGTCACCACCCCCAGGATCAGCACCCCCAGAGCCCGCACCTCCAGTGTCATCATCCCCAACAGCACCGGAGTCCACAGCGACAAGCTGTAGAGACGGCGAAGACGGCCTAGACGAAAAGCCAGGAGGAGTCTCCAAGCGCGGTGGGCGGCGAGAGGACGCTGTGTCGTTAGGAGTAGGGTCACCCCCCTCAGCCAGGCCAGAGGGGTCTGAGGAGACCTCCAAAGGGTCAGCCAAGGGGGGTGGTGTCACCTGAGATACACCTGAGGGAGCAAGACGTGCGGGGAGGGGGAGAGAGGGTCTATGAGGGGGTAACCTGGAACCAGGAAATGGGGCGGGGGGTGGGGGGGGGGGGGGGGGGACGGGGGACCTATGGTGGGGGAAGAGAGAGTAGTAGCAAACCGATTCGTCAAAGGTGACGTCGCAGGAGGACAGGACACGGCGCGTAACTAGGTGGTAAAAATGCCAGGGTGGGGCATCAGTGGGAAAGCCAAGGAAGACGCAGTGAATAATGCAAGGAGAAAACTTGCCCGTAGTAGTATCGTGGACAAGGGCAAGCAAACCCTAGACCCGATATGCTGACGCATCACCAACCTCCCCTGTCCAAAGCAGGGTAGGCGAGTACTCTGGCTGGGAGACATGGGGCAAGAGGTTGAGCTGATGCGCGGTGTATCGGACTGCAAACGGCCAAA